TGCGGCAAACGCGCGATGGCGGCGTCGGAGATGGCGGAAGGGCGGTTTAGGACGCCTCGGAAATGCTCGGCCCATCGCTGAAGGATTTGCGTCTTCTCAGTCAGGAGAGTACTGCCGTCGGCGCTGAGGAGAGGAGCAGTGCACTTTGTCGGCGGACCGTAGACAGCTTTGATCGCAGAGAAGAAGTTCTTCCATTCGTTGCGGTCCGCGTAGCCTTGGATCTCCTCAGCTTTGCGAGCAGTCCAGGCGTCCTGCATCTCGCGCAGTCGCTGCTGGAGGTGGCGGCGACTGCGGTAGAAAGCAGCTTTGTTGCCCTCAGTTGGGTGCTCTACGTAGGCTTTGTGTAGGCGGTTCTTCTCAGCAAGCAGATTTCTGATGGCGGCGTCGTTGTCGTCGAACCAGTCCTGGTGTTGGCGGGGAGCGCGACCGAGGACGGCGAGCGCCGTCGACTGGACTGTGTCACGCAGTTGACACCAGCGGTTCTCCGCGGAGGCGTTTTCGGCAGCGGCGGCATCGGCGATCGGGAGGTTGTCTAGCCGTTGAGCTAGCTCATTGCTGAAATGGAGATGGTGAGCGGGCAAGGACAACAAAGCAACATTCAGCTTACCTGGGGGTCGCTTACCTTGAGGTCTCCTGCGAGGCTGTAGGCGAAGACGCATCTTCGAGATGACGAGGCGATGGTCGGTCTACCGTCAGCACCCGCGATCGCCTTCGTCACCAGCACGTCCCGCTGGTCACGCCTTCGGACGAGGACATAGTCCAGCAGGTGCCACTGACGCGACCGAGGATGCCTCCAGGTGGCCTTCTCTCGCTCCGGCAGACAGAAGAACGTGTTTGTCAGGGTGAGGCGGTGTTCTGCGCAGGTGCGGAGCAGCAGCAGACCATTGTCGTTTGAGCCGCGGAGACCGTGGGGACCCAGCACTCCCCTCCAGGCAGTATGGTCTGTGCCGACGCGGGCGTTGAAGTCACCAAGGACAACCAACTTGTCCGCCATCGGCACAGTCGCCAAGAGGGCGTGCAGGTCCTCGTAGAATTTGTCTCTGACGGCGTTGGGGTTGGTCATCGTCGGAGCGTAGGCGCTGATGATGGTGGCGAATTTGCCTCCTCAGTGAGGCAGGCGGAGGCTCATCAGACGATCGTTGATGCACTGCGGCAAACAGGGCAGTCGTCCCACGATGTCGGTCCGAATGGCGAAGGCGACACCCGCGTCCCGTCGCTCTGCCCTGGGTCGACCGCTCCAGAAGAAGGTGTAGCCGGCACCCACCTCCTCCAGTTGGCCTTGTTCGGAGAAACGGGTCTCGCTGAGTGCGGCGATGTCCACCTTGTAGCGCGCCAGTTCTCGTGCCACTAACGCTGTCCTCCTTTCCGGTCGGTTGCTCCGCGGATTGTCTAAAAGGGAACGAACATTCCAGGCTGCCAGAGTGAGCGGACTCACCCTGCCAGTCTGGTGACGACGAGTGGGGCGACGGGAGGGACATGGAGAAGAAGGTGACGAAGGAGAAGAATAGGCAGAGGAGGAGGTAGAAGAGGTAGGATGAGGAGGAGTATGGTTGTTGTTGTTATTGGTATTGCTGTTGTTTCGATTTTGATTGTTTCGACCATGATTAGACGTCTGCAGCCCTGGCTAGCCTGGAGACGGCGTGGTACCCAGCAATGTTTAGGCCACCTTTTCTAGGCCCTTCCCCTCATGGGAGCAGGCAGTGCCGCCCCTGAATCGGGCTGCCCATGTGCCTGGTTGGCGCGACCGATCCCACTATGGGGCCACGACTTTTATGTTCGTAGTGGAGAACGACCGCATATGCCGTGAGTCCGCGGTCTCCGTCGGCGAGGGTGGGCGCGTCTCAGCGAAGGCGATGCGGAGACCCGTCCCGGCAGCAGTTATCCAACGGCGTACCAGGCAGAGCCTCGTCTCGACGATGCCGGCGCAGTGTTTCATCCGACCATCCATCCAGCGGAGTCCGCAGTACACTGTGCACGCGGCACAAGCGCACAGCGCCCTCACCTGGTTTAGCCCGCCGGTCGAGACGGTTGCCCGGGGTGTGGCCGCTGAGCAGAGCCCAGCTACGTGGAGCCACAGGTGCGAGTTGGGTGCCAGCAAATGGCCGCTAGGCGTAGTCTTGGGGTGTAGGGGTGTCAGCGGTGGGTTCACGTGAAGGTCGTAGTGGTCGCTCACTTGCTTGCAGGTGAGACTACGCCTAGCGTCCACTTGCTGGCACTCAACTCTCACCTGTGGCTCCACGTAGCTGGGCTCTGCTCAGCGGCCACACCCCGGGCAACCGTCTCGACCGGCGGGCTAAACCAGGTGAGGGCGGTTACTCCCTCTGCGCGTTGTGCCGCGTGCACAGGTGACTGCGGACTCCGTGGACGGTTGGTCGGATGGAACACCGCGTCGGCGCCGTCGTGACGAGGCTCTGTCTGACACACCGCTGGTCAGCCGGTTGGTGGTGGAACGTCGCATCGGCATCGTCTAGACGAGGCTCCGCCTGGTACGCCGTTGATCAGCCGGTGGGATGGATCTCCGAATTGGCACCGTCGACACGCGCCCATCTGGTGCACCGTAGGAGACCGCAGGCTTGCGGCAATGCCGTAAGCCATTGGCAAATTCGAGTCGTTCTTCCACTGCCAAAAAACTCGTGGCCCACAGTGGAGTTCGGCCGCGACGGCACATCAAGCAGCCCCTATTCAGGGGTCAGGGCACTGCTTCCTTCGGGGGGGCCTGGAAAAGCTGGCCTAAAAATTGCTGGGGAACCACGTCGTCTGCTGGCGCACCGTGGTCGCAGACGCAAAACTCACGGTCGAAACAATCAAATTCGAAACAACAACAACAACCATACTCATTCTCCTCATCCTACCTCTTCTACCTCTACCTCCGTCTATTCTTCTGCCTATTCTTCTCCTTCGTCATCTTCTTCTCCACCTCCTTCCCGTTGCCCCACTCGTTTTCCCCAGACTGACAGGGTGAGTCCGCTCACTCTGGCAGCCTGGAATGTTCGTTCCCTTTTAGACAATCCGAGGAGCAACCGACCGGAACGGAGGACGGCGCTAGTGGCACGAGAACTGGCGCGCTACAAAGTGGATATCGCCGCACTCAACGAGACCCGTTTCTCCGAACAAGGCCAACTGGAGGAGGTGGGTGCCGGTTACACCTTCTTCTGGAGTGGCCGACCCAGGGCAGAGCGACGAGACGCGGGCGTCGCCTTCGCCATCCGGACCGACATCGTGGGACGACTGCCCTGTTTGCCGCAGGGCATCAACGATCGTCTGATGAGCCTCCGCCTGCCTCTCTGGGGAGGCAAATTCGCCA